GAATAGAAGTGGTTAAAGGGGCACCCCTATCTTGTTCCAGTTTTTAGAGGGAATGTTTCTAATTTTTCTCCATTTAGAATGATGTTGGCCTTAAGCTTAGCATAGATAGCTTTTACAGTGTTGAGGTATGATCCTGCTATTCCCAGTTTTTCTAATGTTTTGAGCATGAAGAATTCCTGTATTTTATCTAATGCTTTTTCAGCACCTATTGAGATAATCATATGATTTTTTACTTTAAATCTAGTGATGTAATACATTACATTTATTACTTTCCATATGTTGAACCAAACTTGCATCCCTGGGATGAACCCCACTTGATCATGGTGCACTATCTTTTTGATAGATTTTTGTATGTGATTGGCTAAGATTTTATTGAGAATATTGTGTCTATGTTCATCAGGGATATTGGTCTGAAGTTTTCTTTCCTTAATGTGTCTTTTTCTGGTTTTGGTATCAGGGTGATGCTAGCCTCACAGAATTGAGTTTGGAAGGGTTCCCTCCTTTTCTATTTCATGGATTAAATTGAGGAGTATAGCTATTAGGTCTTCTTGGAAGGTGTTGTAGAACTCAGCTGAGAATACATCTGGTCCTGGGCTTTTCTTGGTTGGTAAGCTTTTGATGGTGTCTTCTATTTCTTTGCTTGAAATTGATCTGTTTAAATTGTGTATGTCCTCCTGATTCAGTTTGGGTAGATCATATGTTTCTAGAAATTTGTTGGTATCATCAACATTTTCAGTTTTATAGGAGTATAAATTTTCAAAATTGTTTCTAATTATATTCTGTATTTCAATAGTGTCCATCCTGATATTTCCTTTTTCAACGTGAATTTTAGTAATTGGAGTTTTTTCTTTCCTTCATTAGCGAGTCTAAGGGTTTATAAATTTTATTTATTTATTTATTTATTTATTTATTTATTTATTTATTTATTTATTAATTAATTTATTTTTTTATTGTTGGTCTTTCAAAACATTACATCTTTTTTAATATATCATGTTTCACAATTTGATTCAGAATGGTTATGAACTTCCATTATTATTTATTTATTTTTTTAAAGAGCCAAGTTTTCATTCTGTCAATTTTTTGAATTGTTTATTTTATTTAAATTTCATTGATTTCAGCTCTGATTTTAATTATTTCCTGTTTCTACTACTTTTAGTGTTGGTTTATTCTTCTTTTTTTGAGGGCTTTGGAATGTAATGTTAGGTCATTTATTTGTTAATTTTTTATTCTTTTAATGAATGAGCTTAATGCAAGGAACTTTCCTCTTAGCACTGCCTTCATAGTGTCCCAGATATTTTGATATGTTGCATCAGTGTTCTCATTTACCTCTAAGAATTTTTCTTATCTTCTCTCTGATGTCTTCTGCTATCCATTGTTCACTCAATATCATATTTTTTAGTCTCCAGGTGTTGGAGTAGCTTCTACTTTGTATTTTATCATTGATTTCTAGTTTATTCCATTATGATATGATAGAATACAGGGACTGGGGATGTTGCTCTATTTTTTTATGTTGCTCAGAGTTGCTTTGGGGCATAATACATGATCTATTTTAGAGAAGGATCTCTGTGCTGCTGAGAAGAAAGTGTGTTTGCTCAATTGTGGATGAAATATTCTATATATGTCTGTTAAATCTAAATCATTGATTGTATTATTGAGTTCTATAGTTTCTGTGTTTATTTTTTGTTTGGAAGATATATCCAGTGGTGAGAGTGTGAATTAAAGTCACCCAGTATTATTATTTTGTGATCTATTTGCTTCTTTAAATTGAGAAGGGTTTGTTTGATATACATAGGTGCTCCATTGTTTGGGACATAGATATTTATGATTGTTATGTCTTGTTGATGTATGGTTCCCTAAAGCAGTATGAAATGTCCATCTTTATCTCTTCTGACTAACTTTGGTTTGAAGTCTCCTTTATCTGATGTTAAGATGGAAACCCCTTCTTGTTTACCTGGCCCATATGAGTGATATGTTTTTTTCCCCATCCTTTCACCTTCAGTCTGTGGATATCTTTTTCTATGG